CCTTGATTCAGTTTAGTTTTAATTGTCTTAGTAGTTTCCTTGTTAGTCTGAGTTTCCTTAATTACATTTTAATTATTATTGTATGCCAGGGGCAAAATTTAGGAAAATCCTTACAGCTAATGCAATGAAATCTGTAACAAACTAACAAATACTAAAATTAAGGATATTTTCTATTAATTTTTTTCTATTCCAAGTTCACAAAATCATTTAATTTCATTTTTTGGTCTAGTTTTTATTTTTTATTTTGTTAACTAAAATGGGGTTTGTTTGTTGTTGTTGTTTTTTAACATCTAGTTCTAATTCACAAGCACTGTCTCCCTGCATTAAACAGTTACATCCGTTATATTTGACACCACCACCATCCCACTTTTAGGCGCTCTCTAGCCCTCATACAATCCTGCTTTCATCTTAATGGGATTAATTGTGATGAAGAAAAGCATAGCACTGAAATGAAATAATAGTTATGGAAAATAATAGAAAATAAAAAATAATAGAAATCTAAACCTGCCCTTGTACTGCCATTGCACCGCCTCTTTATTTCATCCTTTGCGTCTTTTATAATCCTCTTGTGTGCTACATGCTGTGTTATTATATTTGGCCTGTATTTTGTTATTTGTTAATCAAGATGCTCTATAAAATGATCCCTGATGATAGTTAATAAAGTTGTAGACAGACTTTTTTTGTAGGAAAACAAAAGAGCAAAAGCTAATTTAGCTTTTTCTAAGGTGGTAGAGGAGAGATGAAGACTCAGTTGGTAATAGATGTGTAGCACAGTTAAGCTTAGATAACTGACCGATGGGTTTTCTGTGCACAAGGCAGAATTTATAGCTATGGTATGGGTGCTGCAGTGGGTGGAGGAGGTCAGATTGTGGAAATTGCACATGTGAAGAAATGGAAACTGTTAAGCATGTTTTGATGGACTGCTCCAGCTATTTTATTGAGACAAATATTATGAACATTAAGCCTTTTCTCCTAAAATCAGTAATCGACTTGTATCATTAGGAAGTTTTAAAGGTTTTCTTTTATCTAAAGTTCTGCACCCAAATGGACTACTCGTAAGGATTTAATCCTTGATGTACATTTAGGAAGTACCTGAGGAGGGCAGCAATACGCCTGTGTTGCGTCCTGCCTGCCGGAAATCCACAAAGAAGAAGATAAAGAAGGCAAAACAACTCCGCATGTAGCTAACATTTACAATAAACATTTTTTAGTTGTGCCTCTAACCTGACAAATTATTCCACCTGGGAAATATTTCGTATGAGCAGAGAAGATTTTCTCTAATGTTTCTAATTACATGCAGGCGAGAACAAACAACGCGGGCAGAATTACACTGGGCAGCTAGGTTTAGCCAAAGAAGCTAACCAGCTAGCTCCCATTAGCTGCAATGGCAGCGTCCACTCCTCCAGTGATTTCAGCTCCTGTATTAAGGTCTGTGTTTCTTTGTAGGTCTTTTGAACGTATTTATTTAATGATTTTGAGACACGTAGAAAACAGTGGCGTCTGCCTGCATTTAAAGTATTGTTAAATAAACGCAATAATCGTACAAATTTAGCCTTAGGTTAGATACATTTTTATGAGTGTGGTGGTACTAAAGAAACTGATTTGAATGCCTGAACCTTTTCTTTGCAGATAGTGAGATTTTTCAGTATTGGGAAAGGCAGAAGGTGGTGTAATATGGCTAACTGAAGCAAGTAGCACATGAAGTCTGTCTTCTTTAGAAGCACCAGTGATGGGAAGAGTTCAGTGATTATTATATGTGACAGGGCACAGGGTCTGCTGTGAACTCTGCTGTGAACATTGGCTTTTATTGTTTAAGGTGCAAGCCCTGGCTTAGTCTCCCATCTACCTTTTGCTCCTCTGTTGTGATTATTGTTTTCAATCTCTTTCACTTCAGTCAGAAGCAACGCAGGGCTGCTCTGAGGAAAAAGAGGAGGAAACGGAAACGCCAGGCTCTCGCCCATGCTAGAGAACGAGGTATGTGATAGCTGTATGAGTCCAGGTTGTGTTGTTCTCATTTGTCTAGTTGCAGTTGTTAAGCAAATTCTTCACCACCTTTTCTCTGTTTCAGATTTAAAAAATGGAGCAAGCCCTACTCCTGGAGAAGAAGACGAAGTAAATGAAGATGGTGAGGATGACGATGTTGCAGAGCAAGAAAGGTAGGGCCATACTGACGCTGCTCTGAAGCTGCTCATTCATTGATACCAGCACAGACCATTTTGCTGCACATGCTGGATGTGTTTGATTTTGTATTTATTTACCTTTAGACAGCGTCTTCATGAAGAGTGGCTGGAAAGAGAGCGGATTGCCCAAGAGGAATTCAGACTGCGGTTGGAGAAGGAGGAAACAGCAAGGAAAAGAAAAGAGGAGGAGGAGGTATAGGGATGGGAATTGACAGGAATTTAGCGTTACTTATTCCGTTATCAATATCAATTATGGATTTAATTCCTTATCGATTCTCTAATCAATTCTCATTGAGTTAGAGAATAAAATGTAGTACAGATGTAGCTAAAGGTATATGAGAGAGCCTCTGAGCCAGACCTTGTCAACTAAATGTTAATACGAGATGGAGATTATTCATACAGTATGGCGCTAACATATTGCAATCAACATGACCTGGAGAAGTTTTACGTTGCTTGTGCTGTGCTGTAAGCTTCCCCTCGAGAGTCGCCACCGTCGCTAAGCAGCGTACCAAAGACATTACAGTAGTGCAAATTAACTGTGTGGTCAAATGTTTAAGCATGTTGGAGGCATTTCTCCCCTTTGTTATGATCAAAGCTCTGCACGTGTTGGACCCCCTCCCCCCCAGAAAGGCCCACTGCCTCATAAGAAGCTTGTACAATTCCAGTAACGTAATAATTAACCACCTTGACAGCAGATGTTCCTGGTTCCTTACTGGTTAGCTGATTCAGGAGTTTACAGCGAACACACAACATAACTGTTTTATAATGAGTCAGAGAGGATTAGAAAGATCATTATAAAAATACTCTGGTTTGTTTTCCTATTTTCAGCAGTTCCCATTGACCCACCAAAGCCTCAAAGAACGTGTTCTGATAGATAGAGCTATTTCCCGTTTAGCAGAAGCCTGATCTTGCTTGTTTCATTCAGTCATTATTCTGGTGAACATGACCAGTTTAGTCTAGCTCAGTCCAGCGCACAGCATCCTGCTGCTGTAAATATTGACTGGAGACCCCAACAGATCCATTGTTCTGTTTGAGTAATGGCTTTTACAAACTGCAGTTCACATCAGAATTTTACTGAGCATTTTTAATTATTTACATTTAAAAACACATTATATTTCATTTCGCTGTTGTATGGGATAAAAGCCCAGTACAGCTGACTGGATAAAGACAGTCCGGGCATGATGGCCATACATGCTTGATTTAAAAGAGCTGCATTTGTGGTGAAATGAAAAAAAGGGGGAAAAAAGCATTTCATGGCACCAAAATGAATGGAAATAACAGCACAGTGGAGTCAGTGGAAATTATTTGCAATAAGAATTCCAAATAACTGTCTTTATGT